ATTCAGAAAATACCAATACACACATATGCACGCATATATACATATACATACACATACCAGCATAAACATCCCAATGAGGATACTCGCTGGTCGCCGGCACATCACGTAAAATACGTTGACAGTCTCGAAGAATTGATTCTTGAAAGAGGGGTCTGTGCTTCTCAAGGATCGGTGAAATTGAGGACGACTTTTTTTGTTGTTGATCTGATAATTCCATCTTTTCTTGAAAAAAAAAAATGATGAGTTTCGGTATAAATACATGTAAGTGTGTAAATCGGTATAAATAATAGTGATAACGATAAGACAACAGTGATGATTCTTTTTTTAGTATCAGAGTGATGATATACTACTGTAATGTGAGAAAGTTTTACAGACAAATCTAACTTAAAAGGCTAAATCATAATAATACGTTACGTAATATAAAAAAATATCTGATTTAGTTTAAAAATTATATACCCGATGATAAAAGTGATTAGATTTTTTTTAATCATTGCCATTTGTCCCACTCAACGTTTATATTTTTCATTTTTAAGTTTAATTCTCTATATTTAAACTAATTTTTTACTCGTTCATTTTTCAATCTATTTTTAGTTTCGAATGATTGGAATAATTTTCGTTTGCAGCAGCTGATGATATTGGAATAGATAAAATGTGAATTGCAAGTTTTTTGAAGTTTCGTAGAATACCAAGGACCATCAAGTCGGAGAATCAAATTCCTATCAATATGTCCTACGAAATTTCAATAATTTGGCTTCTTTCGTGGAAATAAACTTTAAGGATGAACAAACAGGTTCATTATTATATGTGACCTCTGCTTCTTATATATTGCGGCACCAACATAAATGCAACAACAGTCATAAATGAAATAGAGATTGAATACTTTGTTAAATTATGATGGAATAATTTTTTGAATTCAGTCAATATTGTATCAAATCGGGAATAAATCATTAAGAATATTAGCTTCAAGTCCCTTTAGAGTTGTACAAAATAGTATCACTTTCACTATTTTAAAGTCTTGGGGTCTATGAGCTTATATTAGGAATTGTGTTCGAGTGACAAAATTAATTGAAATGAAAAATTATAAAATACAAATTATACATGAAAATTCAAAATAAAATTATCTAAATTTAAAATTCTAAAAGAAATGAAATTCATAAATATTATACTCT